ATCCTTACTTTATCAGTTACTAAAAGTTTTGTTCAAAATCTCCAGTGATTTCCCCTTTCACTTTTGTCTCCTTTTGTTCTCTCCACGTGTGTGTGTATACACTTGTTGTTAGGTGCATAAAAATTTAGGAATATTATGACACATTATTTTTTCTGTTGAACTGACTCATTCATCATAAATGTCTTTATTTCTTCTGATATTCCTTGCCTTAAATAATACTTTATCTCATAGTCATTTTGCCATATCAGGCCTTTTTTTTTTTTTTTTTGTCCGTCTCTGTTGCCATCCTACTAATTTTAACCTTTTTGTGTTCTTACACCTAAAGTTTACCTCGTGTGTAAACAGCATGTAACTATAATTCACTTAATCCAGTCTGCCAACATTTAGTTTTTAAATGGAAAATTCAGGTCTTCACATTTAATGTAAATTAAATCCCCATTTTTCTATTTCTTTTCTAGTTATCCCACTTATTCTCTGCTGCTCTATTTTTCCCTCCCATTTTCTTTCGGATTAATCAAGTATTACTTTACTATTTCACTACAGCTTTTTAATTTTACCTTCCTATTGGTGGTTACTCAAGAGAACAGAACATGCAAACCTGATTTAGCAGTCTACTTTAAATTAGTACTTTTACTACCTCCAAAACAGTGTATAAACCATACAACAATTTGACTGTATTTGCCCATTCTGGCTTTGTACTATTGCCATATCCTTCACTTTTATGTATGTTACAAATACCACAAGACATTATTATTGTTATTTGAAATAGTCAATATTGTCTTACATTGTTACACCTTCTAGCACTCTTTACTCTGTGCATTAGTTCCATGCATCCATATGGATACTCTTCCTTTAGCCGGAGGACTTCCCCTCAGTATATTATGAAATATAATTCTGGGCCGGGCGCGGTGGCTCAAGCCTGTAATCCCAGCACTTTGGGAGGCCGAGACGGGTGGATCACGAGGTCAGGAGATCGAGACCATCCTGGCTAACCCGGTGAAACCTCGTCTCTACTTAAAAAAATACAAAAAACTAGCCGGGCGAGGTGGCGGGCGCCTGTAGTCCCAGCTACTCGGGAGGCTGAGGCAGGAGAATGGCGTGAACCCGGGAGGTGGAGCTTGCAGTGAGCTGAGATCCGGCCATTGCACTCCAGCCTGGGCGACAGAGCGAGACTCCGTCTCAAAAAAAAAAAAAAAAAAAAAGAAATGTAATTCTGATGGCAATAAAATACTTTAGCTTGAGTTACTTCTTTGGTTTAAAGAACCTTGATTTTGTCTCTATTTGTGAAAAATATTTTCAGCTGGGTAATGAATTCCAGCTAGGTTTTGTTTTTTGTTTCAGCACTTTAAAGACATTATTCCATTATCTTCTAGCTTTAATAATTTTGTCTAAAAGTCAACTGTCAGTCTTCTATGATTCCTTCGAAGGAACTATGTCCTGTCTTCTCTAACTGCATTTAAATTCTCTTTATCTTTGGTTTTCAGGAACTTAACTATATTGCACTTGGATGGGTTTTGTGTGTATGTTTGTGTGTGCATTTGTGTCCACCCTGTTGGGCTTAGTGAACTTTTTGATTCAGTGATTTAAAGTTTCTCATCAGATTTGGAAAATTCTCAATTACTTTTTTCTTTAAATATTTCTCTTGCCTTTCCCCTCTCTCTTCTTTCAGGATTCCAATTTCATAGATGTTGGAACTTCTGTCTGTGTCTCACATAACTCTCATGCTCTCTTTTATTCTTCTTCTGTGATTCAGTTTGGATATTTTCTGTTGACTTGCTTCTGAGTTTTCTCATTCAGACTTCTGATGTGTGCCATCTGGTTTGTAACAAATCTAATTAATTCTCAACTTCAGATATTGTATTTTGAATTTCCAGAATACTCACTTGGCTCTTTTTTATAGACAACTGTCTTCTGAATGCTTTATATTTTCATACATTTATTTACCTCTTACATACGTACTAGTGATTTTAAATTCTACTCATAACTTACTGGCCAAAAGTAGTCACATGGCTCCACCTAATCACAAGTGGACCAGGAAGTGCAATCCTACCTTGTTTGGGGAAGGTATAGAGATAGACCAGTACTAATGACTACCACACTTGGCTAAGGTCACATAATAAATAAGTGTCAGAAGTCAGGTGTGGTGGCTTATGCCTATAATCCTGGCACTTTGGGAGGCTGAGGTGGGCAGATCACTTGAGGACAGGAGTTGGAGATCAGCCTGGACAACATAGTGAAACACATCTCTACTAAAAACACACAAAAAAATACAATGCATGGTGGTGCATGCCTGTAATCCCAGTTACCTGAGAGGCTGAGTCACGAGAATCACTCTTGACCCCAGGAGGCAGAGGTTGCAGTGAGCCGAGATCATATCACTGCAGTCCAGCCTGGGTGACAGAGCGAGACCTTATCTCAAAGAAAAAGAAAAAGCCAGGCGTGGTGGCTCATGCCTAATATCCCAGCACTGTGGGAGGCTGAGGAGGGTGGATCACAAGGTCAGGAGATCGAGACCATCATAGCCAACATGGTGAAACCCCATCTTTACTAAAAATACAAAAATTAGCTGGGTGTGGTGGTGTGTGCCTGTAATCCCAGCTGCTAGGGAGGCTGAGGCAGGAGAATTGCTTGAACCAGGGAGGTGGAGGTTGTACAGCCATGCCACTACACTCCAGCCTGGTGACAGAGCAAGACTCCATCTAAAAAAAAAAAAAGTCAGAGCTTGGATCTAAACATAGGTATTTCTGATTCCAAACATCTGTGGCCTTTTTTTTTTTTCTATATCGAAACTTCTTTAAAAGGGCTAATTTATTTGGAAATTAAATGTTTTCATAAAATTTTAAGCTAATCTTTGAATAGAAAAATGAATACATTCTATATAAGTTCTCATATGAATTTACTGAAATAGTCTATTTTAAAAACCTTTAAACTAGGTCTAATATATACATAGAAAAGCAAAAAATATAAGTATATAGTGCAATGAACTGTTGCAAAGTGAACACACTTGTGTATCCATCCCCTAAATCAAGAAACAGAACATCACCACTATCCCACAGATCCCTCTCATACTTCCTCACAATCACTATTCCCTTTTCATCCACCCAAGGTAAACACTGTCCTTACTTCTAACATCCTACGGTAATTTTGTCTGTTTGGACTTACAGATACATAGGATCATATAGTAAAAACGCTTGAGTCTGACTTCTTCCACTTAACATTATGTTTGTGAGATTTGTCCACATCGTAGTTTGTAACTGTAGTTGATTTATTTTCTTTCTGTATAGTATGCTATGAAAACATAATCATATATTCACCCCTTCTGCTCTTACTGGACATTTGGGTTGTGTGCACTTTTGGGGTGTCTCTAACAATGACATACACTCTTGTACCTACTTGCACATTCTTTTGGGGGCACATATGCATATACCTCTTTGAAACTATTTGGCCAACGACAGGCTTAGCATCTGTAGACACTACCAAATATTTTTCAGGGGTATAATTTGCAGTCCCTTCAGCAGCATATAAACATCGCAGCTTTTCATTTTTCTTTATCTTCTCCAACATCTAAATATAGATGAAGCATTTCCAATGAAAATTTGGTGTTGGAATTGGGTAGTGCAGTAAATGCAAAATATATAATGAATTTCAAAGGCTAAGTTTAAAAAAGGAAAATCTCAATTATTTTTTAAAATTGAAGGCATGTTGAAACAATATTTTGAATGCATAGGGTTAAAAATTGCTAAAATAAATTTCACCTGCTTTTTTCACCCTTTCAATGTAGCTACAAGAAAATTCCAAATATGTGTGGCTTACACGGCAATTCTATTGGGTAGTGCTGCTCTAACACCACCAATACGTAAATTAGTAGAAAACTAAAAAATATGCCTGTTAAAGTATGGATATGTTGGTTGCAAAAACTACAGAATACTTGTCAGAAAAGCTGAGTTAAGTGCTCTATTCCAGTAGAGAATATCCCAATTTAGATATAGATATTGAGCACTTGTTCAATTATTGTTTTTTTTTTTTTTTTTGCAAGACAAAATTGGATGCTAGTCACCTTATAATTTGTGCTTTCTAAAAGAGAAAACCTTAATCCTAGGTTTAAAATAACATGCGAACCGACTGTAGCATGCTAGAAGATTCTTTTAGTAACAAGAGATTCAACAAGTCTTCTCGGCTAGTGCTTTAAATCACATACCCCCTATTATAAAACCGGTGAAACCAGAAAGCAAACGGTCCTCCTCACACGGCCCCAAACAACTGCCAATAGAGCGCATATTCATATGTCAAAGCCCAAAACGATGACAGAAGTTTGGTCTTCCTTTCAGCTAAGTAGTGTTAACAGGTGGTGGTTGGGTGGAGGCAGGAGAGTGCCTGTTGCTGGTCTCAGGCCTCAGATAAATCAGGGAGTGACTGAATGAATAATTTTAAAACTACACACACTAGTCAGTGTAACTATCTTGTAAGTTAAATACGCCATGACATCTAATGATGGCCTCTGAGACAGAGAGCAGGCTAGAGCCGGAGCGTGTGACGTGATGACAGCAGAGTGGAGGGGCTTCCTCCCTGGCTATATTAGCTGAAACCCAAAGCAAATCCTGCCCCAGTACAAGGCACCCCGTTCCGCGCCTCTAGTGTGTCAGTTACGTGCATTTTCCCTCAGGGTGAGCAAAAATATTTCGTCATCCTCCCCACTCCTCAACAGCGCAGAAGGTGCCAAAAGGCAATTACAGGACCTTACAGAGCTGCTCCCGGGGCCGCGGGAAACTTACCAGCATCCTGGAAAAGACAAAACCAGTGGGGTGCAGGTGGCCTCTCCTGGCTACAGGGTGTGGCCGCCCCCACCTTTCACCTTCCCATGGTTAGGAAGCAAAGTGACCCCTAAGCCTGGACAATGCACTCGAAAGCCCAAAACCTGTCAGGCCCACCGGTCAGCTCCCCACCCCGCTGCTGGGCCCGACAGGTGTAGGGGAGGCGGACCCTCCCCGCAGCCGACTCACCGAGATCCAGCGCCTGGTCGCACCTGAGCAGCGCGGCCTCGGGCTGCTGCTGCCGCTGCAGGCTACGCGCCTGGCCCGCCAACCTGCGCAGCCGGCACTCGGCCGGGAAGCACTTCTCCAGCAGGCCGCTCAGCACCACGTTCACGCGCCGCGCCTGCGGCCGCGCGGGCCCCGGCTCCACGCAGCGCTTGCAGACTGTGAGCCCGCAGGGCAGCGTCACCGGCTTGTGCAGCAACCGCCGGCAGCGCGGGCAGCCGAGCAGGTCGCGGGGCGCGCGGGGCGCCGGGGCCGGCCCTTCCTCGCCCGGCGCCTCGGGCTCGCCGCCCGGGTTCTCCGCGGACAGCGGCCGCTCGCGCAGGCCCACGGCGCGCACCAGGCCGCCCGCCAGCTCCTCCAGCTCCTCCGGCCGCAGCGCCCCGAGCCGCGCGGCGCCGCGGAACGCGCCCAGGGCCTCCGGGAGGCGGCCGGCGCGGGCCAGCGCGTCCCCCAGCCTCAGGCACAGGCCGCGGTCCGGCTGCGCCAGCCCGGCTAGCATGGAGCGGAAGAGCTCGGCTGCCATCTCGTACTCGCCCGCGCGGAAGGCCTCGTCGCCCTCCTCTAAGCGCTGGGCGATCGGCTCCGCGCGATCGCAGCCGGGACACTGGGGTGGCGGCGGCGGCGGGACCGGCTCGGGGCTCATCACCGCGGGGCTGCGACGACGCGGGTCCGGAGCGAAGGCGCGGAGCAGGGAGGACGCGCTGCTGCTGGGAACTGGTCTGCGGGAGCGCGGTCTCAGCCTTCGCCAGCAGCCACGCGCGGCTGGGGGCGGCGCGCTGCGAGCGGCTGAGACCGCGGGCGGGGGCGGGCGCCTGGCTCGGGCAGCGTCCTCAGCGCGGCGTGGGCGGCGAGCCCCGCAGGGCTGCAACCGTTCCGGGGCGGGGGCCGCGACAGGCACCCGGGCGCAACCTGAGCCCCTGCCCACGCGCGACGGCCTCCCAGTCCCGCGGGCTTCGGTAACTCAGGTCGCTGCGGGAACGCGGTGACCGCGCTCCAAGTCCGCGTCTTCCGCGCTGCTTCCCCCACACCCTCGCCTGGGGGCCCCTGCGCGACTGCGCGCGCGTCTCCTGCCCGCCGCCTCCCTACAGAGGTGCCGGGGCCCTGAGAGCAGGTGGCCTTGGCCAAGGGCTGCTGGCGCGCCGGCTCCGCGGCACCTGCTCTTCGCCAGAGGCCTGGTCGCCCCCACAACCTGTGGCTCTGCTTAAGCGCGAACCCAGGAAAAGTCACCAAACGCATCACGCATCTCTAGCTTCGACTTAGGAAATTGTCTTAAATGTCTAGGGAGGCTGAAGTGGGCACCCCGAGGCCCCGCCTCAGCGAGCTTCTGTTAACGAAACTCCAGGCTGAGGCCTTTGAGACCTCATTTTAACAGAGAACGTGGAGGGCCAAGAAAACCAGATGCCAGAAGGAGAGAGGGATTTGAGAAATGGACAATTGTATTGTGCCCTTGATTAGGAAGCAGAAATAGAATTAGAAATAGAATTCTAATTAATAGAATTAGAATAGAAATAGAAAGTGCACCCTAACATGGAGTACTGCAGACGTTAAGTTGCTGGGGAGAGGGAGTTAAACGCTCCGTTGGTGTACAAGCAAGGATTAAATTAAAATCCTCTGTGCGCATTAACTGGGTTCAGAATTTCTCCTATATAGTCTATATATTTCTCCTTATAGTTCTCCTGTATAGCCTGCTCCCTTCTTCCTGTTGTCACAGTATCTGTTTTATCCTGTGTATTTGAATACAATAAAATGCATTACGATATTCTAGAATTCATACTACTGTTCATATTTCAAGAAGAAATTTTTTTAAAGATTGGAGAGGTTTTTCTACATCTAAAACTGCTGGCTAAAGAATATATAAAATACCTTTACCACATCTGGCTTTGCGAAAGGAGAAATGCCTCATTAAGTGAGAGAACATTTTAGACCAGTTCCTAAAAGGGAAAAAGAGGCAACTTTTGGCCAGCCCTGTAGTTCTACAATAAACAAACGCAGAGCACCCCCTTCCCTTTCCATGAGGGATTTCCCCCAGCTGTCTACTTAGTTGATAACAGTCTACTGTTTGGGTCTCTTTTTCATTACTGAATTATTTCAAATTCACTTTTGCAATCACCATTTGGATTTTTATCTGCTTTGTTTATAAAATAACAGTTCACTTATATTTGAAGGTGATGTATCCATCAAATTCACAACAATCAGGAAGCAATGGGGAAAAAGCTTCAGAGCACAGACCATACAGTAAAGATTATGAAACCTTATGATCTCAGATCCTATTGTTCTTATTTTAGACAAATTTCTAGCAAGAGAACAGAAAGAAGCTGCCGGAGGTATGCCTGCTGAGAGCAAGTAATGTTTAAAGCAAAAATATGAGTGTGTTGTGAAGTTTATAACATGTAGAAATAAAATGTATTACAAAAATAACACAAAGGCAGGTAGAGGAGAAATGGCAGGATACTGTTGTAAGGTTCTAATGCTATATGTGAAATGGTATAATGTCACCTTAAGAAAGACTGTAATGAGGTAAGGATGTGTACTCTAAACCCTAAAGCAACCTCCTAAATAACACAAAGAGCTATAGTTTAAAAACCTATAGAGATGAAATGAAATTGTTAAAAACAACAGAAAAACTCTATTAATCCAAAAGAAGGCATTAAAAAGAGAGGAAAGAAACAATTAGATAGAACAAATAGCAAGATGGCAGGTTTAAACTCAACTATATCGGTTAATGTTCACTAAATATTGTCTAAATACCATAATTAAAAGGCAAAGATTATCAAAAGGAAGGCCCAGATATATGCTGCCTACTGAAGGAGAAAAAAAAAAAAAACCCTTTATACAAATAAGGTAAAGGTAAAAGGATGGAAAAAGATGTTCTAGTTAACTCTAACCAAAATAAATCTAGAGTGACTATATTGATATCTGACAAAGTCGATTAAATAAGAACATTGCTAGGAGAAAGGATGGTCATTTCATAATGATAAAGGTGTTAGTTGGTCAAGAGGACAACAGTCCTAACCATGTGTGTTCCCAATAAGAGAGCTTTAAAATATTTGAAGCAAAAACTGATAGAACTGTAAGGTGAAATAGGTAAATTAATAATTATAGTTGGATATTTAAATATCACTTTTTCACCACTAAAAAGAACAAGATCATGTCCTTTGTAAGGACATGGATGTAACTGGAAGCCATTATCCTCAGCAAACTAACACAGGAACAGAAAACCAGACATCACATGTTCTCACTTACAAGTAGGAACTGAACAATGAGAACACATGGACATAGGGAGGAGAACAACACACACTGGGGCCTGACAGGGTGGGATCGGGGGCGGGAGAGCATGAAGAAAAATAGCTAATTCATTCTGGGCTTAAAGCATAGGTGATGGTTTGATAGGTGCAGTAAACCACCATGGCACACGTTTACCTATGTAATAAACCTGCACATCCTGCACAGGTACCCCAGAACTTAAAAATAAAATACCCCTCTTTCAACAATTAATACAAGTATACTGAAAATCAGTAAAGATATGGAAGACTTGAGCAATTCTACAAACCAACTGAATCTGATTGATATTTATAGAACACTCCTCCAACAATAGCAGAATACACATTCTTTTCAAGTGCACATGGGACATTTACCAATATAGAACATCTTAGAGCCATGAAACAAATCTCAATTTAAAAGTATTCCTTCTAGGACACTGATAAATCGATACATTGGATCAAATTGAGAACTTCTGCTGTTTAAAAGACACTGCTAAGACATGCTGCACACTAGGAGAAAATATTGGCAGATCACATAGCTGATAAAATATGAACCAAAAATATATAAAGAACTCTAAGAACTCAATAAGAAAATGCAGAACTGGATTGAAAGGTGAGTGGAAGATTTGAACAGTTATTTCATTGCAGAAGACACATTGATGGCAAAGAAGCACATGAAAATACGCTCAGCATTATGAGTCACTGGGTAAATGCAAATGAAACCTCAAGCAGCCAGTACTGCGCACCTAGTAGAATGTCTGTGATTAAAAAGGCTGACCATGCTGAGTGCTGGCAAACACAGGGGGCATGCAGAACTCACACACCGCCAGTGGGAGTGTACCATGGTGCAGCCACTTTGGACTACAGTTTGGCAGTTTCTTACAATGTTAACGGTATACTTACCATATTAACCACCCATTCCACTTCTAGGTATTTATCCGAAAGAAATAAAAGCATGTGTCCATTCAAACACTTCTACATGAATCTTCATAGCAGCTTTATTTGTAACACCCCCAAGCTAGAAATAATTCAAATGTCTATCATCGGGTGAATGAACAAATTAGGATTTATCTACACAACTGAAAACTATTCAGAAATAAAAAGGAATGAACTATTAATGTATCAAACAACATGTATGAAATCCAAAATAATTATGCTGAGCGAAACAATACAGCAAGGTAGAGCGCATATGTATAAATCATTCCATTTATACAAAAATCTTAGGCTGGGTGCGCTGGCATACACCTGTAATCCCAGCACTTTGAGAGGCCAAAGCAGGCAGATTGCTTGAGCCCAGGAGTTCGAGACCAGCCTGGGCAAGATGGTGAAACCCCTTCTCTACTAAAAATACAAAAAATTAGCCAGGCATGATGGCACATGCCTGTAGTCTCAGCTACTCAGGAGGCTGAGATGGGAGGATGGCCTGAACCCGGGAGGTCAAGGCTGCAATAAGCCATGATTGCACCACTGCAACCTGGGCGACAGGAGTGAGACCCCGTCTCAAAAAATATATATATATATATAGATAGATATATATATCTTGAAAGTATGAGTGAATCTACACTAATAGAATCTACACTACAGTTGAGTGGTCATGTGGGGATGGGAAGAGGGATTACAAAGATCCATGAGGAAACTTTTAGGGGTGATGCACACATTTGTTACCTTGATTGTGGCGATGTTCTCGTGGGTGTATTTATGTGTCAGAACTTATCACAATATATACTTTTTTATTACAAAAACCATTTTTTATAGAGATGGGGTTTCACTGTGTTGCCCAGGCTGGTCTCGAATTCCTGAATTCAAGCAATCCATCTGCCTCAGCCTCCCAAAGTGCTGGTACAGACATGAACCACTGCACCCAGCCTATATACTTTAAATATATGCATCTTATTGTATTGCAATTATACCTCATTAGGGCCTCTTTTATATATGTGTCAATTTAAAGAGAGGTACTTAAAAATTAAAATTTTAAAAAATATATAGGGTGCTTCTAAAGCTATATTTTACAGAAAATTATAGCCTTAAATGCTTATATTAAAAAATAATAGGCCGGGCGTGGTGGCTCAAGCCCGTAATATCAGCACTTCAGGAGGCCAAGGCGGGCCGATCACGAGGTCAGGAGATCAAGACCATCCTGGCTAACACGGTGAAACCCCGTCTCTACTAAAAAAATACAAAAAACTAGCTGGGCGAGGTGGCGGGTGCCTGTAGTTCCAGCTACTCAGGAGGCTGAGGCACGAGAATGGCGTAAACCCAGGAGGCAGAGCTTGCAGTGAGCTGAGATCTGGCCACTGCACCCCAGCCTGGGCGACAGAGCCACACTCTGTCTCAAAATAATAATAATAATAATAACTCAAAAGCAATGTGTTGAACATCTAACTCAAAAAGTTGGGGATAAAAACCAACAGAATAAACCCCAAAAGTAATAAGAAGACAAAGAGAAAAAACTAGTGAATAGTTGTTATCTTGGTAAGAAGATAACAGATATCAACTCAAAAGGTGAGAAAAA